AAGCTTTAGGCTAGCCCAGGACATGCAATAAGACCCTCTCTCACTGAACAGAGGTGGGAAGATAAAGAATGCCAGAGTGTTCATAAGTCTTGGTCCAGGCTTTCATGTTGGTCATGTGGCTTTGAGGACACCTTCTTGCCTCAGTTTTCCCATCTGTATAAGATGGCGAAGACTCTCACTTTCCCATCCATGCAGGACATTCTGAAGCCCTAAGTAAGCTGTGTGAATGAGCTTTGCAAATGGTAGCCACTGTTTAAACCCTGGCTCTTGCTGTTAGAGAGTGGGAAAGAATGTGAACTTGATGTCAGAGGTGGCTTTCTACCTGCTTTTCCCATCTCAGAGGGAGGTAAAGAGTGACAGGAAACTCAGAGGAGCATCAGGCTGATGCTTAGGAAACCCCTCGGGTCTATCGCCCACTCTCACCCACAGCACTGTAGACTCAGGCCAGGCCTCATGCAGTTCCTTCCTGAGAATCTGTCCCAGGGTGAAGGCCAGCCTGAAGCCTAGGCTCTGATGCAGGCTGGCCCCTTTCAGACCTTCAGGGCACTGATGGTGACTGAGTGTGGGGTGTCCCACGCAGAGCCCATCTTTCCTCAGTGCTCTCAGCCTTTGCCTCCTCCCAGGCTGCCTAAACCCTCAGCCTCTGGGGGCTGGGAACCCTGGAGCTGTGTGCCTTCACTGCCCGCTGAGGTCCCACAGCAGGAGAAAGGCAAGTATCCCCTCCTTCCTGTTGGAGCACAAGGCAGCCGCAGTCCTGTTTAATTTAATGCATTGTAGCTTGCCAGGTTGCCCCTGGTAACAGCTTCAGCTGCTGCTCCCAAAACAGCCAGGACTTTTAAAGGGACAGGCTATTTTCAGGCTGGTATTGCACTGCAAAGGAAACAGCATCCAGGAGCTTCTCCTGGATAACAAAACCAGCAGCACTATGAGGCTGGCACTCCACCTGTTCACGCATTAGCTCCACTCCATGTCCTCTGACCTCATCTGTAACCCAGAAGCCCACCTTCAGCATCACTCACAAGTGATCTGCTCAGGGGCTACATTTGAGTTTTGTCACTTGTGTCTGTCAGATACCTACATTTTTGAAAATCAGTTTAGTCTCCAAATTTGGAAGGTAGGGAAGAGAGGAGAGTAAAGGCCTAGGAGCTGCTCCTGCAATTCAGGGACAGTGCCACCAGGTGGTGACATTGCTTCCATTATGAAAATAATAAGCAGGTTCTGAATTTGAGGGTGTTAACAATGAACAGAGTGGGAGCTTTGGGTAAATCACTCCACCTCTCAGGTCTCAGTGTCCCCAGATACACCATAAGGAGATTGGTAATGGTGTCACAGGAAAGGCTGGAGGGTGGGACCATGGAGGGATGAGTTCAGCTTCCAGCTCTTGTCAGTCACTGAATGTCTTTGGACCTGAGTGTCGATGAAAGGAGTGTCTACACAGCCAGAAGAGCCCTGCTCAAAGGCATGAATCAGACAGGTGTAACAATTCACACCTGTAGTGTAAGCACATGGGATCACACATTTGAAGCCACCCTGGGCTACACAGCAAGTCCAGGACAGCCTAGGCTACATAATGAGACTGTCTCAAAGCCAACAAAATAAGATGGACGGCACATCCAACACCAGGGTCCTGTAGAAGCAAGAAAGATGTCTGTAGCCCTAGAGAAGGGGAACAGAGTGAGGAGGGCGTCTTCAGGTTCCAGGCCCTGAAGCCCTGTGGCCCTTGGGGGCAACGAAACAGATTACAGTAGACAAATCAGCCCCAGACCACACCAGGAGAGATGGAATGAGTGTTTGCCCTAGGTGGGCCCCAGAGGCACATAGCTCTATCCCCCTTTGCAGGTAAGAGTGCAGCCCCTAGGTACTCATCCCCAGGGCCACCCAATTGGACCACTCATGCCTATGAGCCACCCAGCCTCGTCTCTGTTAATTCCAAGCAATAATCCACTCCACCAGCTCTTGTATTGGCCCCAACCCTTATTAGAAACATGGAAGGAAGTGTGGGGCCTCTTGCCTCCATGACTTACATTAGTCAGTCACAAAGCCAGCCTGTGGCCAGACTAGAGGTCTGAGGTCACGCCAACAAGTAGCCAGGCAGCCTGAGGTGCTATGGGCTGCTTATGGACCAGTGTTTGACCAGGGTAGCCCATAAAATGGGCCCCATAAATCTGAGTCCTCCTCCCTTCCAAAGTCCTGTGTAAGGACAGCAGAGAGGTGATCCACCACCCTATCCCTGCTTCATGCTTTGGGAAATGTTCCCCATTTCTGAAGGATGCCCCGGAACCCTTGAGGCATGCCCCTCCATCCTTCACTCGTTGCTTTGCACAGCCAAAGCCCGGCATACATAGTCCCATGGTTTAACCCATTGGGGTACTATAAACAGAAGAGCACGCATGGGAGCGTGGCACTCTCCAGCTCTAACCCCTGCTATGGCTCCCCACTGCCTTACAGATGGACTCCAAATTCTAAGTCTGGTACTTTGGCCCTTCACGATGTTCCCTGCTGGCTCCCCCTCCTTGGGTTAAGGATTCCAGCCCTGGCTACATGCAGACCTCATATACCACACTCTTGCCATCTCTGAACTTCTGCCCATTATGGCCAGTCCTCCTGAAATAGTTTTTCTCGCTGTATCCCTCTGGTGGCCCCTCTCTCCTTGAGGACCCTGTTCTAGTGCCACTTCTCCAGAGAGCCTTGGGGGAATCCTGGGGTTGGGGAGGACACCTCCTCGGGGCTCTCACAGCCCCTGTCTCCCTTCCATTCCAATTATGTATTTACACCTGGCTTTCCTGCCAGGCTAAAGCCCTTCCCTCTCCTGTCTTCACTGCCCAGCCTTGGACCATTCACTGGTTCTGGCTTCCTTCACCTCACTCTGCACACAATGTAGCCTTCCAGGTTACATGCACGCGTGCTCACACACACACACACACACACACACACAGAGAGAGAGAGAGAGAGACACACACACACACACAGACACACACACAGACACACACACACACAGAGACAAAGAGACACACCCACACACACACACAGAGACACACACACACAGAGACACACACACACACAGAGAGAGAGAGACACACACACACACACACACAGAGACACACACACAGACACACACACACACA